TGAATGATTACCAATGGCCGAAGAAGGTTGAGATTGACCTTGAGAAGCACAAAAAGAACCATCCTACATGCACAAAAAAATACCAAAATAATAAATATCACCCTACTAGATTACAAGAATAATCAATCCAACAAGATTAATACAAGGTTGCACACAAAAGTAAATATTACCTGTAGACACCCCATTTTTGACCACCCTTAAGACTTGGACGCGACTGATGGTTTACATGGTGGAGAAAGGTGTGCAGGGAAAGGTTCAGTTTCTTCGGCAAGAAGAGAGTCAAAGCTCAACTTCATACCCCTTTTTGGACCGAAACAACCTTGATCAAAAGATTTTAAACCTTAAAACCCTCTCTTTCAAAACGTTTTTGAAATAACATTTTTACGATGTTCCGAGGCTCGCATTTTGTCAAATGTTGTGCTTTTCGGTAAACCGAGCGAGGACAAAGTGGAAATGAATGAAAGAGAGATGAAATCTTTGAAAAATATTTCAAAACACCTTACTTAGGGGTTTGAAGTTGAAGAAAAGAGGAGAAGAGGGAAGAAATCCAGTTGGGGGAGAAAATGGGCATGAACCGTTAAGAAAGAGTCGAGCAGCCCTCGCCAAATCGGGTCTATCCATTTGCATACTTGGAATCAAGCTATGAGGCCACCACCGTTGGAAATATTACTCCCAGGGCCTCATTTTTCACTCAAGAATCTCCTAAATCCAATTCCGGATAGGGGAGATATGGTTGATTGAAGTAGGGCATCATTCCGGCTGGGACCGAATCTACGCGGCTTCACGGAAACGGGCATAACTTTTTCCACAAGAATAATTTTAATGCAAGGTTTGCGCCATTGGAAATATAACTTCCGGGGATTCAATTTGGACTCTTGAATGGCCAGCATTGGACTTCCTAATCATCCACCGGCCACATTTCTTCCCGGCAGCCCATTTTTTTTTCCTGAAAAGTAGCAGGCCGGCCAGAAATTCCAGAAAATGTAGCAGGCCGGCCAGAAATTCCAGAAAAAGTAGCCGGCCGGCCACATTTTTCTGGTGGATGATTTTTTTTGCCCATTTAAACTAGCCGGCCATGATCCTTGTCCCAAGTACATTCTAGCCATGTATTTTGTTTTACACTTCACCCATGTCCGAGGGTTTGGCCCTTTTGGGGGGAAACTTGGATTGTTTTCCCTCCATTTTTCCCCCCTTTTCCCCCCCTCTTTTGTCCATATAACAGCAGCTCCAGCTCTGTTCCTAGGGTTACAAAAATTCCCTCTAAGGCCTTTGCATTATATCCCTCTCCCTCTCTATTTCCAAGCAAAAACCTTCCAAGTCCTATACCCCTTTCCACACCACCACCAAGCCCCACCCTTCCATCCTTCATTCCAGCAGTTGGAGGTTCTTCTTCAAGGCCTAGGAGTGCTGCATCTCAAGCCAAAGGGGTGCCAAAGCATAGTCTTCAAGGGTGAGCACCATTTTCTCTCTTTTTAGCTTGTTTTTGTATCCTTTCTAAGTCATTCTTGTTTGCTATTTTGGGCTTCGACCCTAACTGGAACTAGGCTTATTTTGAGCCATTTTGCATGTTTGTTTAAGGATATTTACCTGTTTGAGGTCTCCTTGTTGCACTTGCTTCAATATCTCTCTTGTATGCCTATTGCTTGTGTAGTATTTTTGGCCTATTTATAAACTGTTTTGAGCTCTATCATGAACTGAAAAGTGGCTTATTTTGACCCCTTCTTGAATATTGTTGAAGGTCTCATTGCTGTTTGAGGCTCCTATCTTCCACTTGCCTTTATATCTCTCTTTTGGCTCCATTTTTGCATGATTTGTTAGGCTATTTTTCTTCTGTTTTTGGGCTCTTTTCAGAACTGAAAATAGTCTTATTTTGACCCCCTCTTCATGTTTCATTGAGGGTATTTCACTGTTTGAGGCATCATTTTTATACTTTGTGTTATATCTCTCTTTTTGGCCATATTTTGCATAGTATTTTTGGCTTGTATATATGCTGTTTTGGATCTGGCCACCAACTGTAAAATGCCATGTTTTGGGCCCCTCTTAAACTTTGTTGAAGGGCCCTCTTGTGTTTGAGGCCAGAAACCTTCACTTGCTTCTTTGTCCATCTTTTGGCCTATTTCTTACATGAGAACTTAGCCATACCTGTGTTTGTTTTTGGGCTCTTTTTAGAACTGTAAAAGGTCATATTTTGGGTCCCTCTTCAACATTGTTGAAGGATCCTCAGCTGTTTGGGGCCAGCAGCTGTGACTTGCTTCACTATCTCACATTTAGGGCCATTTTTGCATGCTAGTTTTGCCCTATTTGTGTTTGCTGTTTGGCCCTGCTTAAAACTGGAAACATGCTTTTTTTGGGACTTCCTTGAACATGTGTTTACATTTCATGTCCAAATAATGCATGCTTGATATAGCTACAAGTCATTTCATATGCTTAATCTTGCATTTTCGGGACCATTTCATGCATCGGGTGCTGCATCGTCATGATTCAGGGCTGTTTTGCATCACTTATTGCCTCTGAAATTTGCATGTTTGCATATCATATTCCATGCCTTGCCACGTCTTGTTAGAGTGGCATTTGGTGCCTTAGGGTCGGTCCTCGGTTTGCATGCACGTGGGTACGTATTTCGAGTCGTCTCATTTTCATCGCATGGCCTCTTATGTGAGTGTGGCTGAGGTCCACTCATGTTAGTGTAAGCCCATTTATGCATTGTGTATGCCATTTCATTTCATAACATTGTGTATGCTAGGTTGTATGTTAGCGCATTGTGTATGTCATGTTACATCATGCATCGTGTATGCCATTTCATAGCATTGTGCATGCTAGGTTGTATATTAGTTGCATTTCATGCATCTCATGCATATTGCATTGTGTTTGGGATAGGAGTTAGCCCAAGCACGGGAAACGAGGTACGTTTCGTACTCCGAGTGACGGAACGTGTCTCAATTCCCAGTTGCCGACACTCCGGATTATCCATGATGGAGTCTAGGTTTTGTTTTGTTTTCATGTGCATTCATTCTATATTGAGTTGCACAATTTGACTCCTCGGCCATCATGCATCGAGCTGCGTGATTGGTGGCACGAGGATCGAGACACGCATACATATGTGAAAATACATTGTTATGCCCCTTTCCTGCTCTCTGTTGCAGCAAATCAAGAATCAACAGTCTTCCGGGGCTTGGCGCGCTTTCCAAGAAATCATTGCAAAACAGAGGCTAATTGGGACATCCCAGTGGATTTCTGCGCAAGGCAGCCTAAACATACATCATTCATCAGAGTCAAGGCAGTCCCTGGCTTGCATGCCAGTTTATAGCTTTCCTAGATTAATTTGTAAATTAATTAGGATTTTTGTATTTATTCGGGACTGTAATTATTTATTTGGGACTGTATATTTATTCGGACCCTCTGCGCGAGGGCATAACTGTAATAAGTGTGCGTGTGTGTGATGCATGTCTTCCAACCCTACGTCTTTCTCTCTTTTATTTACCTGCTTACGATGGTTAGATTAGGACATATTTCAATTAGCATATAGTATGATAGCATGTTTGTATCATTCATCTGTTTTGCATGCACCGGGCTCGACGCATCATACTAACTGCATTTGTATTTTAATTTCAAAGTTGAATACTTGTTAGCTGTTGCATTCCATATGCCATGCTTAGAATAGCCGAGCCTGCTATATAAACATGTGCTTATGTGATATAACTGCCTGAATGCCTGTGGGTGAAGGTTGGGTTATTTGAATTGGAATAATTCATTAATTGTGAGTTTTAAGCCCACTAGATAGTGGCAAAATCATGTTTTCTAAGCCCACCTGAGGGTGGCAAATCCACGTCTTAGCCTACTTGCGAGTAGCACCATCAAACCATTTTCAAATAAACAAACATGAAACGTTTTGTTCCAATTCAGACGATCCAGTCTATACTTGTATGCTGTGCGTATCACATAGTAAATCTAGGCTAATAACCGGAATAAGAACGCATAATATTTTCAAAAATAGATATCATGGTTAGTAGAGGCCGATCTTTGATCGGGCGAGCGGGGGTGCTCACGAAGTGACCTTCCCCAATCCTACCCAAGTTCCCGAGCCGAGGCAACTTTGGTGATGACGGACACGTGGCCTTAGGCAACGAGTCAGGGTTTCCTAAATTTTCCAAAAATAAAATATTTAGGTGGCGACTCTGTATCTGGCAAAGCAGTCCATGTTTGGCACTTCTTTCAAAAAATCTGTTTTCTCAAAACGATTTGCCGGATTTGGACTCTTTGGTTCAGATTTAGAACCGTGACAATTTGAGAGTCCTGAGCTGTAGTGACCCCAAATGAACAGAACGGGATCACCCTCTCGGGGCGTTCGGGGACGTCTACATACCTGAATACAAATATTACCCATGGTGGTACGAGGCTCAGATTGATTTTCGGGAGTACAAAAAACATCACCTTACAATGGCCAATTTCTTTAATTCATTAGTTTTCCAACACACATGCCTCCAAAAATCATTTAATCATATGCAACAATTTTGTGTAATTACATGATTAGATTGCATTCTTTTCTTCTTTGCAATAGATTTTTCCATCCCGCCCTTGATCCTCCTTATTCTCTTACTAGTTGCTTGTCTTTTCTTGAGTCCCTTGGCTTGTATTGGACAATCTACTTCTTCACTCTGTGGGCATGTGTTAGCTGAGGAATTTCTCAATTCAGTGATCTCCACTTCACCACAAGTGTGCACACTTAATTTGTTTTCAACCATGACACTCAATTCTTCACCTTTTGCAAGTGACAAATGATAAGTTTCTTCACTTTCGGCGGTTCTACTTGCTATTGCTCTAAACATATTCATCAATGACCTATATCGGTCGCTTTGATATAGTTTCACATCAGCCTTGACGTCATACCCACGCCTATCTTTCACACTTTCAACCCTTGCTTTTTTAGTCCATCATTTGAGTATGTATTGTGCAGGAAGGTCCTTTGCATTGATTGTCTCTCTAAGCACCTTTAAACAATGTCAACACACTATGCCCTTTACTTCAAACTTCTTGCAACTACAACTCAAAAAACCATCTCTATCCATTGTCACATTCTTATCTTTTTTTCCATCTACGTCCGTTTGAATTGTGAATATGGTACTCTCACCATCATGAATAGTGCCTACAATGGATGCTTCAATAGACTGCACATACTCATTTTGGAATTCCTCAAAAATTATTTTGGTGTAAATATCTACCATTTGCTTTAACATCACAGTTGGAATGGAAACCCTTGGCAATTTTTGGGACAGATTATACTCGGCTTCCAATTCTTTATACCTCTTGTCATAGAGCACCCTCTCAAAATGCATGAAAAATTCCATCAAGTTATGATCACAATTGAGATAATCCTTTAAAAATGCATTGAATGATTTACTTAGTTGAGTAGTACTCATTCCAGCTGCCCAAGAATTCATAATATATGGCCATCCCCATTTCTCCTTCACACCAAAAATTTGCTCCAACCAATGATTGTTGCGTGCATCATACCTATCAAGCATTTGGTCCCATTGTATTTTGAATTCTTCTTCATCATCAATTTGATGCATAAATTTTGAAAACACACCCTTCACCCCAACATCTTCAAAGAGGGAACTTTTATGCTTCACATCATTTTTGCATCAAATGCCATGTACAAAGTCGGTGGTTTGTACTAGGCATGACAATTGGAATGGCCTTAGCCATCGCAGCATCTTGATCTGTGAAAATTGTTTTTGGAGCTTTGTTTGACATTGCCTCCAAAAAAATCTGAAACAACCATGTGAATGATTCGGCAGTCTCATCATGCATCAACGCTGCACCAAATATAACAGTTTCTCGATGATGATTAAATCCAACAAAGGTTCCAAAAGGTCTATGTTCGTTATTTAATTTGTAAGTAGTGTCAAAGGCCACTACATCACCAAATTGAGCATAGTCCATTATCATTTGTGCATCGGCCCAAAATATATTACTTATTTTCTCTTCACATTCTAATTGGACTGCATAATAAAGGGATGGATTTTCCAAAGTTTTCTTACGAAAGTATTGCAAGGCACTACTCGCTTCTCCATATTCCAAATCTTTTTGTCTCTTCGATCTCAAGTAATTTTTTTGGTCCTATTTGGTGAAGCCAAGTGATGCTCTTCCACCAGATTCCCTACCAAATAGCTCATAAGCAGACCTAAGAGCAATTCCAGATTCTGAAGCCAATTCTACTTCAATTGCTTGGGTGGTAGATATTTTTCTTTGGGATGACAACATATGAATGCACTCTTGAGGCACAAGATCATGATTATGATGTTCAACAAAATCAATGGCAACATATTTTCCTAAATTTCTATCTAACTTGATACTAAATCGAGCACCACAGCCACACCTCACCTATTGTCTCGGAAATTTTACTAGTGGATCTTGCTTGTCAATACCCCAAGTTCCCTCTTTGTAACATACAAAAGTCCGTGAAGTTATTTCCTTAGTATGTTTGTTCTTGTGTGCATATATCTTCTTAATACTAATCCCCATCTTTCCGCCATAGGTATTGTAAAAATCATATGCAGCTTGTTCAGAGTCAAATGACATACCCAATTTCGGCTTCTAACCACAATTAGCCAACTCATCAAAAACATTATTTTCTTCGATCACCTGCAATTCGATTTATAAGTGCAATGAATCAATTTATATTACTTGGATCTATGACTTGGATTTTTTGGACAGGTATGCTAGTGTTTAATTTTCTATCTCTAAGTTTGTAATTTAATAAAGTACCTTTGTGCATCCAGTTATCTAAATTATCAACATTTACCAATATCTTTTAATGTGTTCTCTCATTTATTACTTGGATCTTTTGATGAGTTCTCTCATTTATATAATTTTTATAAGACAGTTGATTAAAAGGGATGTTTTGAATTTCATAATGAGGATAATTAAATTTGACAAAATATTGGCCTCTTATAGAATCTCCCAATTAATATAAGTGACCTTATGCATAAGTTTGGGTATGTGTAGACTGTTGTAATTGCATTATATATATACATAACACAAACTCATCTAATACCAAATAAGCAGTGTTTGTTGAGGGAACTAGATGTTGCTTTGTATTGAAACAGAGTAACAAAGTTCTAAACAAGCAAAAAGCATACCAAAAAAAAAAACACATGATTTGCTTCCAATTATATAATGCTTAATAACACATGATTAGCATTCACATATATAAAAAATAGGCAACATTTACCTATATAGCTAGGCTAGGAAGTATAAGATTTACAGCTAGGAAGTAGAAGATTTAACCAATGTGCCTTGTTACAAATATTTTTTTCTAAAGCAATTTAAACCAATGTTAAGCAGTGTTAAGCAGAGCTATAAAGCAATTTAAACCATATCAGCAACTATAGCTGTTGATCAGCAACTATAACCATAAATAATGTAAATATAGAGAAATGACACAGAGACTTAAATAGACCTCGTCATGGCTACAATGTCGCCTTCTCGCCGTCGCATCACAACCGGACTCACGTCCCTCCGCCATCGTCGCGTCACAGCTGGACTCGCGTCCCTCCGCCAACCTTTCTCCATCGCCATCGCCTCCTTCCACCATCTCTCTCCGTCTTCGCAGATGGCGCCGATCTTCTTTCCGTTCGTCGATCGTCTCGTTTTGTCCAGCTGTCGCACCTCTCTTCTCTCTCTCTCTATCCAACTGCGTCATTAGGGCTAAACAGAGGAGAGAGGGACGAAGATGAAAGTCAAATAAGAGTACAAACGGGAAACTCAAATTTTGAAGCAAAAAAAAAAAAAAAAAAACCAACTAAATAAAACGACGTCGTTTTGGGGAGTGCGGCAGGAAAAGCCGCAGGAAAGAGCGGCCGACATTCCGTACTCCATGGTGAATCCCCATAAGCTTAAATAGTACAACCTAACAAACAAGTTGTAAAACAAGACATCTATTAATAAATTTAGGTTTAAAAAAAAAATTTCTTGTCCAAAATTTTGATATGTGATTAAAATTGAATTGATGTGTTGTATAATTCCTGAATGAGAAATTTTAATACATATCCTTTTAAAAAGAATGTATTATATGCATTTTTATTTATGTTGTTTTTTTTTTGCTTTAGTTATAATCAATTTCTTCTTTAATTATTACATTATTTTAATTATACCTCATATTATGTTTAGTTATGACACTTTTTTTTTTTTAAAGTTATGACTCAAAAAATTAAAATTATTCCATTTTTTTTAGTTGTAAAGTGCGTATGGTGCACACACTTATAGTGTTTCCCTTCGTGCATAAATAAATTTTAACCACACATTTATATTTCTATGTAAAATTCTAACTACCACTCCGTTTGAGAAGAGCTAATTTGGCTTATTTTTTAATTTTTTGACTAATTTAGCCTGATTATTAGCTAAGTTTGGAACAAACGTTTCATTTTTTTATAATTTTGTGTGAGAAAAAAGTGAAATAATTATTATTTAAATATAACATTTTATCTTATTAACTTTTTAAATTATTTTATCTTTTTTGTACTTATTTAGTCCGTTTAGCTCTTGCCAAACGAAGCCCGTAATATTAACATGAACTTGTTTACAAAATAGAAGTGTTATGTTATTTTTCTTGAATTTTTTTATATGAATAAAAAATTCCTTCCAATAAATAAAATTCGTAACATGCACTGCTTTAAATAATTACGACATTATGAGTGTGATATGCTCATTCACATTATGAGACGTATATGTTGTGATTTTTCATTAATAATGACTATCATATAAATAATGTTATATGATAATAGTTAATAAATTTTTTTTTGTACATTATAGCAACTACTTAATAAAAATATCATATTTTACTTGTACAATATTCTATTGTGATATTGGTTTTTTAACATTACAAAATGTTAGGCATCTATAATTTTTAGTGGACGGAGACATTGCGTTTTGAAAAGGTAGTAAAAAGTTAATTTTTTAATTTTTTAATTTTTTTACACAAAAAGGTCACAAAAATCAGCCTTTTTAACCCAAAAAAGTCAAAAAAAATCATAAAAATAAATAAAAAAATTAACTTTTTATCAACTTTCCGAAACACCATAATTCAAATATTGGAGTTACAATTTCAAACAAATCACGGGTTGTTTTGTTTGACAAATTCATTTTCATGTCGTAGTAGTTTTGGATTTGGAGTTGAACAAAGATTTTGGTTTAGGAAGTAATTTTAATTTTTTTTTTTTTTTTTTTTACGATTTGAAAAAAATTAAAAAGTCAAAATCATAAAAAGTACAGGCCAAGTCAATTGATAAGCTAATATGAAAATATTTTAAAAATTGTATTTTAATTTCTTACACAGAAACTTAGTACTAATATTTATTCATTTTTTATTAAAAATACACCTATCAAATTTGTGTGGTTTAATTTTTTTAAATTAGTTTTTGAGTTTTTGTTTTTTGTCTTGAATAAACTCTTTTTTTTTCTTCATATTTAAGTCAAATGAACGTAAAAACTATGGCATTTATGATTTTTTTTAAATTATTAAGACAAAAAAAAATAGAAATTGCGTATTTTTTTGTTTTTGTTTTTGACCTTTTCATTTTTAGTGATTTTTTGTTTTAGATTTATCCGCAAGTTTTACTTTTTAAGTGCATTTAAATTAGGTGTATCTAAAAATAAAATAAAAAATTATTGAAATGTGAAAAAAAAATTACTAAACATAAAAATAAAAAATAAAAAAAACTCAAAAAATGCATTTGAGTGTGAAATATTATGACTTTGTCATTTTTGTTTTATTTTTTTATGGGTTGAGCTTCTAGCGTTGGTCACTTCAATTTAAGAGAGCGTTTGGTTTTGATGGGTCTATTTTAGAACTGATTTCGATAATTTGAACGATTCACTTTTTAAGACTCGTAAATATTAAATTTGTATGACAAAAAGTAAATGGTTATTTTTTGAAATTATATTTATCGTCTATTTTTTAAAAACAATATGATTTAAATATATAGATATCAATATCAAATTATTTTGATTTTTTATATGAATATATTATCTGATAAATCTTAAACAATAAACGATTCAAATCACCTAATCAATTTTTAAATGAGCTTACTAAATTCAAATAATCTCTCAAATTAAAATGATAATTTAAGATAAATCAAACCATGAATAATGTAAAAGCATAAGATTTGAAGAGACCCTTCCCTTGATCATATTGGATTTTGACACCACCAGTAGTTTACGCGGTCGACTTTGACCCAATACAACTTGCAAGTACTACGCGGTGAATCTTAAACCACTTGTTTTTGAAATTTTCGAAAATGATAAATAAATTATCATTTTTATTTATTTCAAAAAGACATAATATAAAAAAAATAAAAAAATGATATAATTTAAATAAGTCGAAAAATCAATAAAAAAATTGTTTTAGGGAGTGCCTTATAAGTTTTTTTGACTTGTTACATAAAAATGTGCAAAAAAATATAGAGGCAATGTAACATAAATAAGTCAATAAATTAATAAATTAACTTATAAGATGATTCCTAAAAGAAATCTGACTTATAAACTACTTGTTCAAAGAGACCTTTTAATTAAGGAAAAATATATTCCTATGTAAAATTTAAAAAGAAATTTAATATTAAAATGATATGATATTGATATTTTCATAATTAACACCCAATTTGATATATATATATATATATATATTTTGAAATTATAGGACCATACAGTAATGTTACGTAACTCGAATCCTCCCTTCCCCGACTCTCCCGAATTCAAAATGACGTCGTTTTGTCGTTTTGATTTTTTTTTTCTTTCAATAACGCAGAAAGAGGAGGAAGAGGAGAGTAGCAGAGAGAGAGAGAGAAAAAAATCATCATCATCAACATCACTATCATCATCTTCAGATCTTCATCAACATCATCATCAATAACCATTCAACCACAACATCAACATCATCAACAGCC